TACTTTTTCTTCAACCCTGAAGATGGGGGCGATACGTTCCTCCGAAACGTCGGTTAACACCACATATACACGGTGCCAAATCCCAGAAGACTGCTTTCTTCATAGTCACCGCCGTGAAAGCCTCAAATCTTACAATTGTGAAGTCGATTATAATTGTGTTTTTCCTCACCAGAGTGCGTCCGAGTGGCAGATTGTGTTCTACATAGCAAGTGCCGTCTATCTGGTAGGGGCCGTGGTGTACGGTCTGTGCGCTTCAGGAGAAGTGCAGAAGTGGGCTATGGTAGAAGATCGGACGGACGGTAAAGAAGATCAGTGTTACTCCAACAAAGCTATGGAATCTGACGCACTATAACATCAGAATGTCGCCAGAGATATGATAGAGAGCTCCTAACTCGAAAGTTCCTGTTGTACGAGCCACACACGCTCCTGAGTTGTTCTCAGGGCTGCGTTTCTGTATTAACATTGTGATGGATATGAGTGTCCTCGGGATAATACCAACATTACCCTGGACACAGGGCTGGACTTCACACCCCAGATGAACCAAGGAACTGCATGCGATGAAGAGATTTCTGGGGCGATACATTTTATTATCATCCTACCCCACTCCCCTTTATTTGGCTTTTAAAATGAAGATTAGATTACGCTCTTTAAAATGAAAATTAATTTCTGCTGCGCTTTTGTTCATATCGCGGCCGTTAATTCGCAGTAATCACGCAACAATGGAAATATAACTGTGAACAGCACGCACTGGCATTCTTGCGTAATTGCGACTATGGTGACGGGAGGACACAACGTTTTCATAACTGTTTCTTTGCTGTTTTAAGAATTACGACACAATGGCGATATTCTTTTACCGTCTCTACGAATTTTGTGTTATCACTTGTGATGAAGGCAGAATCTCCTGTCTCCTTGGACAACATTAAGTTAACATCAACCCTTCTTTGGGTTGGGTATACCGTCTGGGGTAGGGAGAACCATTTCGCAGTTTAATAACAAAATGGAGGCATGTATGGAAAACTGTTATAACTGTAAAGTACATACCTAATTACGCGTCGAATTTCGAGGGTAACATCAGGAAATTTTGTAGGTTAGAATACAATGGGGGTGCTTGAAGATACTTCAAGAAGTTCATTGTAACAGTATTACTAGTAGAACAGTCCAGAAAAAAAAACTAGGCATATGTTGTATAGTGTCTATTTTTATCTTAGATTATGAGGTGTAGAAAGGAAATACAAGCATTGTAATAATGTAGGTAAATTATTGCTGAAATTATGCCTGTCTATCCTCAGTCTTATTTAATGTTAGTCCCCCTCTCTCTCTTCTTGTGCAGCGACAAGTCGCACGCGCTGAGGCCAACACTGACATGACCAGAACAATTAGGGCGCACTCCGGCTCCTTATCTTACGCAATAAATAATTAATAAATTACTTAAGTTACATTTAATTTTTGATTATAAGCAAAAACAATTCTTGTCTGAAAACCCTCAGGAAGGGGACACGCGGTAGCGTAGTTCGTTGAAGGACCATGCTACAAGCCGGAAGGTTGCGGGTTCGAGTCTCGATGAGGTGGATTTTTTTTTTTCGATTTACCTAACCCTTCCAGCCGAACTATGGCCCTGGGCGGCCGGCGGCCGACACTTAAGGCTTATAATCTTACCGCCCTCTGTGAGCCGATTGTCTAGAAAATGTTGGAGCCTCGACGCCTCACAAACCTATGGACTTCCACAGCCTGTTACAGGGATACACGTAGATTTACTTTTGTACCTTAACCTACTTACTTATTTACGCATGGAGCTGACCCCTTCTGGAGGAGCCGCCAATTTTGCAGCTATTCAAGAATTTCCCAGCATTTCATGGAACCCAAAGGTTCATTACCGTGTTCACAAGAGCCCTCCACTGATCCCTATCCTGAGCCAGAACTATCCAATCCATATCATCCCATCCTATCTCTCTAAGATCCATTCTAATATTGTCCACCCACCTACGCCTCGGTCTTCCCTGTGGTCTCTTTCCTTCTGGCTTTCCCACCAATATCCTATACGCATTCCTCATCTCCCCAATTCGTGTTACATGACCTGCCCACGTCATTCTCCTTGACTTGATCATTCTAATTATACTTAGAGACGAGTACAAGTTATGAAGCTCCTCATTATGCAGTTTTCTCCAATCTCCTGTCACTTAAACCCTAAGGAAATGTCTCCTGGCTCAAATGCTGAAACCAGGAGAAAAATCCGCATATTAGATCCGTGAGAAATGAGTAACAAGTTGAGCTGACACGTGACATATTCTTGGTTCGGCACATAGATACCAACACTTCTAAGGAATATGTTACCTCCCTCTTCAGGGTACAAGAATAAACGGAACTTCGATCCTCCCTTCGGTCCCTCTTTCCTCCCCTCGGTCCCTGCTTCCTCCCCTTGGTCCCTGTAATACTAAACAATTCTTTTTTTCTGAAGATGATAAAATTACGCCATGTCTGAACTCACAGAAATTCCTCCCATTCTGCATTTCTGTCCTCTCTGTAACTCGAGTTATTAATGATCTTCTTCATGGGGATAAATAACCTGAAGCGCTTTCTTCTATTTCTCAACTCATAATGCACTAAAGCATATTCATTCTATATTCGTTAGGTGAAACTTGATCAGGTTCTGTAACATAAGTAGCACCAACATCTCCCTGCACACCCAGCCTCTTAGAGTACAAGGCAGCTTCCTGAACATACCGACATCATGACCGACTGTAGGAGCACGTGCACAGCTAAAGTACCCGTTCTGAATCTCTCCCAGGCTTCCTCTTATGGTATTCCTCAGGGCCGCGCCATAGCTCAAGCGATTAGTCGCTGGCTTCCCATCGCGGCGGCCCGGATTCGATCCCGGGTCTGATAAAGTGGAATTGGTGGTGGACAAAGTGGCGCTGGGGCAGGTTTTCTCCGAGTACTTCGGTTTCCCCTGCCAATCTTCATTCCACCAAATTCTCCATCATCATATTCACCCAGGGGCAAGTACAGTAGGTCAATCAGTGGCCGCCGTGCCGAGTGGACCCAGTTGGACTCCACCCGTCACTAAGCGAATTAGAAAAAAATTATGGCTTTCCTCTATCTCCGGGAGAATGCTAAGACGCGGAACACTGTCCGCCTTCTAAATCCTTGTCTCCTTCTACCGTATAACCTTCATTCTGTCAAATTCAAAGACATGCAATCTGTATTTTAATCTACTCAGTTGAAACATCAACATCCAATAATCCGCGACTTTAACATAGCGTTCGTGCGGCATTACTTCCTTGAATGTTGTATGTAGCAGAATTTCAAAAAATGTATATTTTGTGAGGGGGGTTTGCGTAGAAATAAAACTAATAATAAAAGATAAAAAAGGTAAAGCTATCCCTGTAACAGGCCATGAAGGCTCATAGGGCTGTGAGACGTCGAGGCTCCCACATTTTCTGGACAATCTGCGCACAGATGGCGGTGAAGTTATTAGCCTTGCGCGCCGGCGGCCATTTACGCCCCAAGAAGGTTCCTGGTACTCATTTCTGTTAGAGTTTGAGTCATCCCCAGGGCCATAGTGGGCCTGGAAGGGTTAGGTAAATTGAAAAATATCCACCTCAACGGGACTCGAATCCGCGACCTTCCGACTTGTAGCATAGTGCCTTAACCAACTACGCTATAGCAAACAAAATATAAGATTATATTGGCGTTTCTCTTCGATGGTTATGACTGGAAAAACATGCGAATTTGATATATTACAGAAAGAAGCAGAACATAGATTCTCTATTCGAAAAGTGTTAAAAGTGCACAATTTTAAGGTTGGTCTATATCTTACCAAGTTTCACATGCTGAACATTTGCATCACAGAAAGATCCGCTATTACAAGAATTGTTTGAGAGTTCTTTACGTATGATAAGTTAACAGGTAACAAGACATTCTGACAGTTTGTTGCATCCGTTAAACTTGGCCTTTAAATCACTGAAGTGTTAAAGCACGACCTATTCTTGTACTAATTTCAACATACAGGATTTAGTATTACATCACACACGAAGCTCACACAACGTTAGTTTATTTTAAAGAGCCAATCAACACGAGAAACATTCTTATTCTGTGCCAGATGAAACTATAGGTGTTGAAACATGTGTGCCTTGCAGTAAACTGCTCGGGCATTGCGCTTTTTGAAGAGCAAGATATGTTTATACGGTCGTTTTCAAATTACGTGGTTTACAAAAGAGGCAATACTTCACTTATGTTTTGTCTCAAACATCTTTGAGCATGTATCATACATTAAGAAGGAATATTTACGGAAGATTAGCCTCTTGTGTGAGCAATGAGACCACCGCTATTCCGTTTTCGTTTCCATTTTACTGTGACAAGATCTATGAAAGCATGAATAGGGCAGTAAGAAGGATGTCCGTTGCTATGCAACAGCCAGGTAAATACCCACGCAACAATAAAACTGAGATGCCTTTGTATACATATTAAATTTAGACTGTGTAGATTAGCAAATGTGTTAAACGTTAAATAAATCAAATTATCGAGCCCGAACCCTTGTCTAGTCACTAACGCGTTACAGTATCTTTAAAATAAAGTCGAGTAATGATGACGCAGGAATCTGCGGCGTTACGCGATAGTAGTGACGTAACGTCGAAGATGTTTTAGTCAGAGAATACTTTAATAAAAACACAGCAGCCGATTAATTACGTATACTTTTATTGTCTTCTGGAAATACTCATTTCCAATAGCGAATTGCAGAATTGGCAGGGTGGTTTCAATATAAAACAAGCTGGAATACACACGTATAAGAATTCACATTGTTCGTGCAGCTCAAGGGCGGCGAATATTTTCAATGCACATGCCGCGCTTACATCGATAGCTCTTTACCAATCAGACAATAAGAAGCAATGTATACCGGACCTTGTTATTGCAGCACCGCCTGATGAACATGAAACAGGGCTCATCTCTTGCTGTAAGTTTGCATACAAGCCTGCAGTTGTAGAAATGTGAGCGGTTATTTTGATAGAGACAAAAATGATAAAAAGTTTCGTGAGATTTTTGGTTCTCGCGCTTGTGGTTATCTTCTGAGATATGACATTTGGTAGTCTTGTAGAAGTTACTGACGTTTCGGAAGGATCTACTGCCTCCATCTTCAGGATCCATGAGTAAGCCTAGCAAACAGCAAAGACGACTTACTGCTCGACTTTCAAGACACGTTCCCCCGAAATGTCAGTAAAGGTCTATGAGGATAGAGGGAGTCCCACCTCAGAACTTAGTAGCCACCTTCCGCTTCGCATTCATTTTGTTCCTGAGACGCCTTCTTAAATCTGCTCTTATTAATTTCTGAATCCGAATAATCCGCAGACTAAAACGTTGTGGTTTCTTGTAGCTCTGATAGCCACATCCCGGTATTCGAAATGGATACATAAATGAACACCAAAATTATAACTTACGTCAAGAGATTATGGATCAATGAAATTCAATTATCTAAATTCATATGTACTCATTTCTTTTTTCATTTTATACTGATATCTTCATTCTTAACGTGGCATAATCTGGCTCATCCTTCAGCTAGTATTAGGCTAATTTCCTAAGTAGGCTAATGAGATCACCATCCGATCTGTGTCTGTGCATCCCCCATATTAAATTTTGAATAGCTCAACCAATCTTTATGAAACATGGTATGTAATTTCATCAGTAATCTGTCATACGACAGGTCCACAGTCTCTTCCAAAAGAGTCCCTCCACTTAATGCGATCTAGAGCTTTCTCCTTCAAATGAGAATATCCTCTTCTGTCCCCAAGGTCATCCAGCATCTTCTTACGTCTTCTTCCTCGTCTTCTGGTCGCATGCATGGTATGTATATCACTGCACAAACATTACAGCCCCTTAACTTTCTGAGGAAAAGCTTCAATACTACCTGAACGCCTGTACCAATCTTCATTAAATTTTGTAAGTACATAATGCCATATGAAGGCGTCTCATCGACATATATAATAAGTTACTCACATCAATAATACCAACATTACATCCCCTCAAATTTCTGAGACAAAATCTAGATATTGCTTAAGCGCCTGCACCAATCTTCATGAAAACTGATACGTATATATCATGCCACCTGAGGTGATCTCAACAGCGTGCTTATGGAATTTCTAATCAGTAGTACCAACACTACAGCCTCTCAAATTGTTAATGTAATACCTTTCTTTTTATAGCTAGTGGGATGGAACTAAGTCCCTTGTACTGCGGCTACTTCTGGCCTATTGTACCAGCCCCAGATGATAGGTGAGGGTGATTGTAGAGGAATTGGTGGAATGAAGATTGGCAGGGGAAACCGAAGTACTTGGAGAAAACCTGCCCTAGCGCTACTTTGTCCACCACAAATCCCACTTGACCAGATCCGAGATCGAACCCGGGCCG